CCCCCCCCTTGGCCTCCAGATGTAGGGCGGGAGCCCTGCGCCATGTCCCCGCTGTCACCCCGCGCGCCTCCCCATCACCCTCAGGCACATCCGGAGCCCACACAGCTCCCCCCTGCCTGAAGGTAACGAGCACCAGATGTGGCCCAGATGTGCAGAGGGGGGTTCATGCGCCCCCCCCAGCCCCCCTCCCCACACACACACACACACCCTCCCTCCATGTTGTGCTGTCTGCAGAGCTCGGGGTCCTCCCAAGCTGTGTCACTGCCAAGTCGTGGAGTGGGGGGCGGGGGGCAGCCACGTGCCCCCTGTGCGCTCTGCAGGGGCTTATGGCATCGAGCCCTGAGTGCAGGGGAGGGAAGGGGGGAGTGTTTGCACGACCTCATGCCCCCCATCTGCAACCAATTCCATAGAAAAGCAGCAGCATCTGTAGCTCGGCGCAGCTCTGGAACACAGCCGGGGGTCGTCGTCACCGCCATCCCGAGAGGCACTTAACCTCCCCTCCATGGGTCACACACCGGGCTGGGCGGTCTGGGATGTGGGGAGGGGTCACTCTGACACCGGTCCCTGCTTGCAGGCGTTAACATGATGCTGCGGAAGATCGCGGTGGCTGCGGCCTCGAAGCCAGCGGTGGAGATCAAGCAGGACGGTGAAAGCTTCTACATCAAGACCTCGACCACCGTGCGCACCACTGAGATCAGCTTCAGGATCGGGGAGGAGTTCGAGGAGCAAACGGTGGACGGGCGGCCCTGCAAGGTGGGCTGAGCTGCACCCGTTTGTGTGCGTGGATGTGTGTGCATTCACTGATGTGTGTGTGTGAACGTGTGCACACATCCAGCATGCAGTCCTTCCCCCTGCTCCCAGGTGATACACGTGTCCAGCAACTGCAGGTTGTGGGGACAAACAGCTCCATCTGGTTGGTGGTGATGGATTGTAGTGCCTGATGGGGCTGGGGGCTGCTTCCCCTCTCCCCCCCCCCCCCGTACCCCCCAACCAGTGCTGTTCTCTCTTCTCTATAGAGCTTGGCCAAGTGGGAGAGTGAGAACAAGATGGTGTGTGAGCAGCGGCTGCTGAAGGGCGAGGGACCCCGGACGGGCTGGTCCCGAGAGCTGACCAATGATGGGGAGCTCATCCTGGTGAGTGGGGGGCAAAGGGGGGGTTGGACGGTGATGGGGTGCATGCTGAGAAACTGTTGGAATAGGGCTGTGACCAGTGCTCCTTATTGCAGACCATGACAGCTGATGATGTTGTCTGCACCAGAGTGTACATCCGGGAGTGACGCACGCCACCAACCATCTCCCCACAACGGCTCCAGCCCCCCCCCTGCCCCTCCCCATGCCTTTCCCGTGGCCCTGTGTCCCCCTGCTCCCCTGTACCTGCCCCGTGTCCCCCCCCCTTCCCCCTCCCTGTGGCTGTGGGGGTGCACTGAGCAGCGGGATGTTGGGGAGCACCCCATCCTTTGGGTTTGATGTTTTCTGGTGGGTTTTTTTTTGTTGTTGTTGTTGTTTTTTCTTTTTTATAACTGTTTTTGATTCACTTTGACCTCACACCCGGTGCTGCACCCCTCGCCCTCCCCTGCAGCTCTGCTCGCTCTGCTCCCTCCCCGGTATTTATTTGTGAATAGTTGAATGGAATGGAAACACTCAACAGCTCCAATCCGGCAGTGCCGTGCAGTTCCGACCCCTGGGAACGTCTCCTCACCCCTCTTCCCCTCTCCTGTTTCTAATAAAGCTCCAATCCCCATTGCTGTCCCCATCCCTCCCGGCCCTGCTTGCGTGTGCTGATCCAGCTCCGTGCCACAGCCCCAGCGTTGTGCAAAGGGCCGGGGGCAAAGGCGGTGCTGGGCGATGCCGTGTGGCGCATCCCTGCGTGGGAAGCACGGGGCATCCGGAGCACGGAGCCCCAATGGGTGCAGGTCTGGAGGGGGTAGAGGGGAGGAAACACCAAGTGCTGCCATGAGGTGATGCTCGTGGTCCCAGCTGGGTTGCCCCTATGCTGTCTTGGCTGTGTTAACAGCCCCGGGGTGGGTGATGAGATGGAATTGGGGGGGGGGGGGGGGTTCTTTTCGGCCACGAGGTGGGTGTGCTGTTTGTTGCATGGGAGTATGAGGAGCACTCGGCAAACTGTCCCGATTTTAGGTGGCAGTGGGGGTGTTGAGTGCCTCCTGGTGAGCATCCTGCCCTCGGTACTCTGATTCTTTGGGGGAAAAGCCAACAGTAAAGCAGCAAACCCCGAGTAAGCTGGGAGCCTTTGGGGCAAGGGGCAAAGGGGCTGCTGTGCTGCTGCTCCCTGGGTGTGTCGGTGGTGGCAGCAGGGTTTTTACCAGGAGTGGATGGGAAACAAAAGCTGTGCCCTGGGAAGACGGGAGCGGCTGCAGATGCCTTTGGGGTGACGCAAAGGGGGGGGTAAGGGAGGGGGGGGTAGCGCTGTGGGTTCCTCTACGGGGGAGAGCAGTGGGATTACAGCTTTGGGAAGGGAGGGGGGGAGTTGTGAAGAGGGGATGATGGGGGTAGCGCTGTGCCTCCAGGTGCTGCTCCTGGAATGCGCCTTAAATCTCCCCCCACACCGGGATCTGGACCACTGCCGGCTCCTGACGTCACCGTGCTGTAACGGGACCGGGTGGCACCAGGAGCTGCTCCATGTCCCCCCCCCCCCCCAAGACCCGGCCATGCAATGATGGGTGGTGGGCACTGCCGACCCCCTCCTCCTTTCAGCCGAACTCGTTTCTCTCCCCGGAGATTTTGTAAAAGAAACGATCCGCCTCGAGCAGCTCTTAATGAAAACCATGAGTTCCAACCCTCGGCCCTCACGGTTTTCCGATCCAGAGGAATATCCTCTTTCTTCGTAGCCGCCCAGGGGACGGCTCCAATTTGTCTCTCTTCCGAACCCCGGGCGGGAGGGGAAGCAGCAGCGCCGGTGGTGAAAGCGGAGATGGCAGCAGGGGCCCCGATGGGGGCTGTGCCCCAACAGCTGGAGCTGCACATCTGGATGACGGGGGTGCACATCTGGATGGCGAGGGGGCAGCCTGGGGGTCCCATCTCGCTTCTTGTGCTGCTGATGGGGGGTACAGAGACGACGTGTCCCAGCCGTTGGCTACCCCACGCCAAGAGTTGGATGGCGGCCGCTCAGTGAAACAAAGGCGGATTCCTCCTCTCAGCCTCTGTTTATTGTGCGAAGAGCGGAGGGGAGCGGGGCTCTGCAGGGCTTGGGGAGAGGGAAGGGGGGGGGGCTGCTGGAGTGGGTCCCAGGATGCAGAGCGGTGCTCGACTGGAAAGTGCACGGGTGGTGATGGTGATGGGTTCCCCCAAAAGGGGGCTGCAGGGTTTTACCCCTCCCCCTCCAAGCTCACTGTGGGTGGCTGCGGGTGCCCCCGAGCCGGCACTAATCGGCTGTCCGCTGACCCCCGGGCTGCCCCCGGCTGGGGAGGGGGCCCCGCTCAGCCCCTTGCCTTTCATCTGCCGCAGACAAAGCCCTGCGAGGGGCTGGGGGCTTCTGAGCCGCTTTGTGCTGCGGGTGATGAATGTGTGACCCACGGGGGGTTGCGACCCTTCTCCCTCTGCCTTTGTCATGCATTTTTTGGAAGTGGGGTCCCCAGGGTGTCTCCAGGTAGCTCCCACCATGCTGTCGGCTGCGCAGTACGGCTTTGTCCTGAGATGCGTTGGTTCTCGTCCTTGCTATGGGGCCGCTGGCCAAGCTGTGGGCTGGGCTGTCTGCGACCGCACTGCAAGGATTTCACCCCTAACCTCATACTGGGGCTCGAGCAGGATTGCACGCCGCTCCTTGCTCCCCACGAAGGGGTTTTCAGGTGCACTGCAACCGTGCCGAGGGGCACAGGGAGGGCACTGTGCTGGCGTTACACAGGGAGCGCAGCGTGACCGCGTGGGCTCCAGATAAGGGCTCAGTACCGCCATGCCCCACGGTTCCACGTCCCATTGGGTCCCCTTCCCGAGGGGCAGCACGCCGTGCCCGGTCCCCAGGGTCCCTCATCCCGGTGTCCCCGCTTGGGACGCGGTGACACAGCCGTCCCCATGGCGCTCCCTGGGGCAGCCGGGGACAGCAGTGCCCACAACTGGGCGAGCAGGGCGGTATCCCAATGCCGCCGGCTTCAGGAGGTGACAGATGCGAGGTGCTGTCACCTCCCCACGCGATGCCACCCTCAAAACAGAGCAACCCCCCCCCATCCCATCCCATCCCATCCCATCCCATCCCATCCCATCCCATCCCATCCCATCCCATCCCATCCCCCGCAAGACCCTCCTCGCTCCTTTCCAGTTTTGACTTTCAGGGTCCCATGGACTGACCCCGTTGTGGAAGGGGGAGGGGGGGAGGGTTTACGGGATCCGGTTTGACCCCCGTGCTTTTGTTCCTCAGCATTTGAGCTCATCTTTTGCGGAGGAGGGGAGGGGGGTCTCACTTCACCGCTCAACCCCCGCAGGGTGGCGTTTGCGGGGTCTCTGCCAACCCCAGCCCCAAGGATGCAATGGAGCGTCGGCGCAGCCCACCTGCGTTGCTGACCCCTGGCGGCTGCCTGCAGGGGAACGATGACGGAAGCGTGCCTCAGTTTCCCCATCTGCTGCCCCGGTAATGACAGGGCAGTGGGAGGCCCTGCCCGGCTCCCCTCCTCCTGGCGCTGGGCTGCTTCAAAGGGCCCTTTCCCTGCGGCGGGGGCACGGCCCGGATTGTGAGGGCAGCAGCGGCTGCCGGGGGGGGGGGTCAGGGCCAGGACCGCGGCTCCCCTCCCTGCTGAGCAAGGCTGGGGAAACTGAGGCACGCCCGCAGATCAAAGCGGGCGGTGCGCGAGGCTGCCCCCGGGGGGGAGCGGCTGTGGGCCGGCAACGAGGAGTCAGGATTGCTTTTAATGCCACATACAAAGTCCTCTCCACCCTCCCTCCCCATCCTTCCCCTCTCGCCCCCCCCCCCGAAAAAAAAACAGACTTAAAATTATTCCAAAAATAAATAAAAAGGGCCAGGTCCCCCCTTACCCCCTTCTGTGCAAAGAGAAAAGAGAAAAACCCCCTCCACTCCCCAGGCCAGACCCAGGCTCCAGCAGGAAAGAAATGGGCAAAGCAAGTGAACCGGCGGCAGCATCACCCCATGGGGTGGGGGCTGCAGGGTGGGGGTCCTCAGCCCTGCGCAGGGCAGAGCAGGTGGAGGGCAGCAGATCTGGAGCCTTCCCCACCCATCTCCTTGGTGTGGAATGCTCAGAGCTGCCCGATGCTGGGCACAATGCTCCTGGCCCCACACTGTAGATAGGGAAACTGAGGCAAGGCAGCATGGCCCCCGCTCAGCATCAGTCCAGGGCTGCGCTGTCCTGGTGCAGGGAGAGGGGATGACTCCAAAAGAAGGGCGAGTGCTGTGGGAAAGGTGACCTATGTACATCCCTGAAGGTCAACGGCTCTCCGAGCCCCTTCCCCACCACGCTGCCCCCTGCCCCTGCATGGGACGAGCCCCCAACAGCCTCGGCTATGAGGTCTGGCACTGCACGTGCTGACGGGTGCCATCCTCGAAGTCATCCTCGTGGTATGCTTCGCCATGCGGCCGCCGGCCTGTACTGCCATGGGACGTGTAGTCACTGAGTTCCACCTCCTCTGTGTCCTCAGTGGCCATCACCTCCTCCTGGGGTGGGAAGAAGGCCTGGAGCTGGCGCAGGCGTTCGGTGGGCAGCCAGCCAGGCTCGGGGAACTTCACCTGTGGGTACAGAAGGGTTGGGGACGGAGGTGGGCATGGGGAGGCCACACAGGGTCCATAACCCATCCCAAACCCACACCTCACCTCGAACTTGAGGATGAGTTTTCCTTTCTGGAAGGGGCTCCTGTAGACGGGCATCCCCTCGTTGGGGATGCACTTCAGGTCCCCAGGTCGGATGACATCACCTGAGAAAGAGGATGAGTGTCACTGCGCCATGCACCACCGCACTGTGCATCACCGCACTGTGCCCCCATGCTGCTCCCAGCTTTTTTGCTGGGGACTTTGTGCAGATGTGGAGGAAAAGGGGAGAAGCTGCGTCCCCGTAGAGCTGGGGAAGAGTGAAACTCAAGGACAGTGCAGGATGGGACCACGGGGACACACGTCCCCATCCTACCTGGCTGCGAGGCGACAAGCAGGGTCCTGTTGTCCAGCGTGCGGATGACCTGCCTGCAGCCACACAGCGCATCTGCCAGGCTGATCTCCCGCCTGACAATCAGATCATCACCGCTCCGCCTGAACACGGGATGCTCCTTCTGGTCCAGGACAATGATGATGTCCCCAGGCTCCAGGCCAGGCACTTGGTCACCTTCCTCGTGGAAGGTGATCTTCTGCCCATCCTTCATACCTACAGGGAGAATTCAACAGCTCAGATCGCAGCTCTGGAGCTGTTATCACAGGTCACCCTCTTGGCACAGCCCTATCTCACCTTTATCCAGGTGGACGCTGAGGATTTTTTTCTCCCGCACGACCTTGCGGCCATTGCAGGTGAGACAGCAGTCGCGGGGCCGGATCCACTCGCCCTGGCCCTGGCACTGGGAGCACACCGTCTGGATCTGCTGGATCACGCCGGGCCCCAGCTGGTGGATACGCACCTCCATGCCCGAGCCGTGGCACTTGGGGCACCGCCGCTGTGCGCCCTCCCGCACCCCGCAGCCTGCGGGCGAGGGCAGGTGGGGGGTGAGGGCTGGGCACGGTGCTGACCCCCTGTCTCGGTCCCCCCCAGGCCCTCACCTCCGCATTTCCTGCAGATGATGTTCTTCTGCAGGGACAGCTTGCGTGTGGTGCCGTTGTAGAGGTCCTCCAGCGACACGGAGAGCTGATGTACCACCGTCTTGCCTGGAAGGATGGAGAGCCCAGATCGGCACCCTGCTGCATGCAACAGGGCTGCACCTTCAGTCACTGCTCTGCTGTCGCATGGCAGAAGAAAGCTCGGATCCTGCAGACCCCAGGGGCAGCCCCACATCCCAGCCCCACAGCCCTCGCCATGCTACAGCTGTTCATCACCAGCCCTACCCAGAGGTGCCAGGAAGCTCTCTTTCACCTCCTAATTGCCCTGCAATTAAATCCTGCCACCTCAGCAAGAAGCGCCCTGGCAAGTCATCGAGCCATCCCCTCTTGCATGACCCAAGCCTAAAGCATCCTGCTGTCACCAGAGCACCCTGCACGCCCTGCATCCCCAAGGCCGTGGGGAGCCGAGGGCAGCGCTAGGTGACTCACCCCAGCCTGGGGACAGCGGGGGACTGGGTAGGGCGCTTTGAAGAGGGGCAGGTGGAGAAAGTAATGAGGGTGACAAAGAACTGTGCTGGGCTGTGCACCGCGAGGAGCGAGGTGGCCCGGGGGCCACCAACTGGCTGCTGGCGTCCCCAGAGTCAACAAGCCAACCCCATCCCATCCCCCAGAGCCAACACAGCCAACATGTCAACCCTGTCCTGTCTTCAGAGCCAACATGTCAACCTTGTCCCATCCCTAGAAGCACCAGGTCAGCCACATCCCCAGAGCCAACAGGTCAACCCAGTCCCATCTCCGCTCTCGCTGTCAGCTCAGTTCCAGCTCCCAGTGTCCCCAGTGCCCGTACCTCGCCGGTCCGCCCGGCCACGCATCCTCACACCACCTCCAAAGAACAGATCGAAAATGTCCATAGGGGAACCGAAGCCGGGGCTGCTCCTGTTGCCCAGGCCACCCTCCTTCATGGCCCTTTCCCCTCCTCGGTCGTACAGAGCCCGTTTGTGGGCATCTGACAGCACCTCGTAGGCCTGTGAGATCTGCTTGAACTGAGAGGGAACAGAGGGTGGTGAGCGGGGCAGAGGGAATGGGGGGATGTGAAGCTGGGTTATGGGGGAGGATTTGGGGTTCCTACCCTCTCGCCCTCGCTGGGGTTCTTATCGGGGTGGTAGCGCAGTGCCAGGCGTCGGTATGCCCGCTTGATCTCATCCAGGCTGGCGCCCGGCCGCACGCCGAGCAAGTCGTAGTAACCCGTCTCCTTCACCATCGTCCTCGCTGCTGCGAGGGGGAGGCGTCACCCCCGTGTCCCGCATCCTCCCCCCTCCCCCCCCAGTTTCCCCATTCCCACAGCCGCCCCACTCCGCGTGCCGCCCGTCGATAAGCCCCAACGTTGCGCTGGGGGAATGAAGAAGGG